TGGTCTGTACATTGTATGATAGATAGATGCTAGGAAAAGTAGATGGAAACTTGACTCACCTCTGTAGTTTGCCTTTGTTATTTTGATGGTATCAAATGAAGATATTTTGTTTGCTTGACTGCATTAATTCATGCTTTTTCTTGATACTTATACCAGAAAGTGACTTCTTTTTATTTAGAATGAGCTTCTGGATACATTCAGTCTAAACCTGCACCGTGTTGACAAAGACGTGCAACGATGTGATCGTAACTACCATTACTTTACCACTGCAAACCTAGAGAAACTTCGCAATATCATGTGCAGCTATGTCTGGGAACACTTGGAAATTGGCTACGTCCAGGGAATGTGTGATTTGGTGGCTCCATTACTGGTCATCATTGATGACGGTATGTCTGTCAGGGTTTGATTGGGTGTCTGTCTCTACATGTATTTCAGTGGGTGTGATCAGCTTGTTTCCTAACTCCTCAAATTCCTGTACTTAGTGAATTCAAGAGGTTGGCCAAATCATGCGACCTTTAACATTTCTATTTTTGTTTTGTTTTTGATTTAATAGAGGCAAAGACATATAGTTGCTTCTGTGAGTTGATGAAGCGAATGAGTAAGAACTTCCCCCATGGAGGAGCTATGGACACACACTTTGCCAACATGAGGTCTCTCATACAGGTATTAAAGTAGGCTCAGTCTATGCGCTAAAGAAATCAAACCCTTTCAACATTTTTGTTGTCATGAGAACGAATCACATGCCCCTCAAAGTGAATTGACGTGTGTGACTTGCGTACTTCAGCCACATTCATAACGCTGACGTTCATTATGAGTTTAACTTGAGAAAACACGGTTTAGAATCTGTAAGTTTGAAAGCAAGTTTTTAGATGCATCCTGCAGGGTTGGCTTGGTACGTGAGAAGTTGTGGGCCCACATAACTTCATGGTTTGCTGTACTAGACAATTACGTTGCCATAATTCACTTACCGTCTGGCTTATTGTAGATCTTGGATTCAGAAATGTTTGAGTTGATGCATCAGAATGGTGACTACACTCATTTCTACTTCTGCTATCGATGGTTCTTGCTAGACTTCAAGCGAGGTTTGTGTAAACCAAGGAGAGCAATTGACAAGACACAACTCTACAAGATTACTATGCAAGAAAAATCAAGTTCTTGCTGAGTTGGTGTAATGAAGTATAGGAGTAACTCCCCAAAATATACATGCATGTACAAGACAGTCACTGGCAAAGAAATCTGTGATAAAAGTGAAGATGATGTGATGGCTTGCTAGCCTTTTGCTTTATAATCAGAGCTTGTCTTTGACAATGCCTGCGTTATCTCAGACGTTATTTGTGTGACTAAATATATGGATATGTTTGGCATCTATGTGTACATTGTCACTTTGAAATAACTGGTAGATATTTGTAACCTCTGTAGTGATCAGTACAATTTGACAGTGACTCTGATTGGTGGTATTGTGTCTTCTTCCTATCAGAACTTGTCTATGATGACACTTTTGTGGTTTGGGAGACCATCTGGGCAGCCAAGCATTGTGCTTCCAGGGACTTTGTACTCTTCATTGCCTTAGCATTGGTAGAATACTACAGAGATATCATATTGGACAATAACATGGACTTCACTGATATCATCAAGTTCTTCAATGGTTAGTGACCCGGGGAAAAAATAGATTGAACTGTAACCATGGAAACGAGCTTGGCAGGTGCTCTTTCTCTGTAATTGTAAGACTGAATGAGAGGATGAAGTATGTACGTAGATTCCAGTTATAGCGCTCTCAGGTGGACCTAACAGAATTGAGCCTTTAACTGCCCAGCACTATAACTGACTGGATGGAAGCGCAACATGTGCGCATGTATTCTGTGTACATGTACAGATACATGTACATGTCATGTAGGCCTATGTAAATTACGTTTACATGTACACATTCGTACATGTATGTACCGTAATTTTCAGAATATTAACCGTGCACAACAGTGCATCCGGTTATCTGGAAGTTTTTGTAACGCCGATCAAAAACACCACCAAGTCTCTTTGAAAACCGCCACGGCACTTCATGCGTGCTGCATCGCCGCACATGCACTGCATCCACACCCACCGTGACATCCTAACTGCTACTAGGTACCCATGCATGGACAGTCCAATAGCTGACTTCTTCTGATAACCATGTGACCATAGAAAGTGATATGTCATCAGAAAACCCAAGTGAAAACAGACCCGATATGTCACACTGAACACAATCGGCAAAAAGACGAGATTTGCTACAATGTGCTTTGTGAATTCATGACGCGGGACTTCCGTTTAATAACTCAAAATCCAAACGACTCAATTTTTATTCTCAGACATTGATGAGTGTTTAGATATAAATAGCAGTCTAAGAAAATATTACTGCGCCATGTGTGGCCTAGGCACGGCTTACTGTGGTGAGCACGTTCTTGCAATCGCCCTGTATGAATGGTATTCGTGTCTATGGACGGCTGGCCGAGTGCATATCTGCACAATTGTGTGAGTGCTACTACTGGTGTCTTGAGGTCGGCCAATCGCAGCAGCCTTGCGATGCAGTTTCATGTGCATTGATTTTCACAGAATCTGATTTGCAAAGGTAAAGAGGAGTGTAACCAGAATCATTTCAAATACTTTATGGTTCCTGGGGGCCAAAACTCATGAGTGTTATATCCCGAAAAGCATTATAAACGGGAGTGCTATAACCACATAAATATGTGTACTGTGAATGGGTGTGCAGTGTGGGAAATGAAAATAGAGCTTTATATCGGTAAGAGGTATCAGGGAGTGCTATAACGGGAATTTACTGTAACGAAATTTTCAAAGTAACTCTTGCACGACACTTCACACTGTTCTCTCCAAACCAGACCGATAGCACTTGAAAATTACAAGATAAATGCTTGCTTCTTCTGTTCTGAAACCTGTATACATATATGCCCCAGCTGTTTGTTCTTTAAACCTGGGAGTTTGCTGATGTCAATTAATGATGTTGTTTTCCCTGTGTTATTCAGAAATGGCGGAGAGACATGATGCCAAGGCGATACTGAAGGTGGCTCGAGATTTGGTGTACAGGGTTCAGACGCTGATAGAGAACAAGTAAATTGGTTTCGCTTGCAGGTAGTGACTGTATGGTAGTCCTGACAAATGACAAAGTGGTGAACAGACCCTTAGAGATTTGTTGATTGAATCATTGTTTCACCTTGGATGATTTGTTTAGAATGGAATTCCTATGTCAATTTCACCAAGTTACATTTTCTAGTAATGAACTGTCTTGCAGGTTAATGTGTGTATGTCACCAGGATATATTATTCCTTATGAAAGCTGTTACATGAGACACTGTCATTCACAATCTTGCTGTCTGTAGCATCTCTTCTCTAGTCATACCCTTCTCCTCATCATCTCACCATCCTAACCCAAGTCACCATTCTGCACCTCACCATATACCTATGCATCACACATCTAAGTGCCATCAGCTGGATTCATACCAGCATACCTAGGTGACTCTCTCTCATATCCGTTGTCCTGCAAACTATCATTACACTGCTTTGAAAAGAAATGAAACCGTCATATGTATGAAATAACTGTATTCATTAAATGTTTTAGTTTCATATTGTGCTGGAAATGGTTGTCTGTATATAGCCAGGTCTATATGTTGGATAAATGTCGACTTAAAATAAGAAGTGCAAGAATCAAAATGTAGCTGTGTTGTCACAAAGTGTTCACGTACTTAAATTACTGTTGGTTTTAGAACTTCAGTATATATAATAAAAAATTATTAATAAATTTGTCTAGAGATGGCATTTGTTATTTTATAAGATATGATGTAAAGAGAGTTGTATTGTAGGAACAATATGTGTGTGGTATATTTGAAAATGAAGTTCTTGATATGGAGTGAAGATGACGAGAATTCTGAGGATCTCAAGACATTCGGGAGTTTCTTCCTCACCAAACTTTATTTCGTTTCCTTTGAGGCATGTGCATATGCGCAAACATTAAAGACTTCTTTTTTCCAGTTTTATATTATGCAAACTCTTGATGCATAAAATGAAGTTTTTTTGTGAATGAAAAAACTGGATTATTGAGTAGCGTCACAGTGTTTGATGCTGATCAGCTGGCTTAGTTTGTAAGGTAATATTGGTTGCTGAAGAATTGGATCGCTTGTTGCAAAGAAGTGAAGCATGAAAAAGCAAGACTATGATTTCAGGAGAGTAAAGATTATAATCAGATGATTATTACCACTATTAGATGAAGAAATCATTCAGTGTTAGATGTCTTTCTGATGAGAAATCTTAAGGATGATTACTAGTACTTGCCATTACTCTGACATAAAAATTAGTAGCATGCATAAATCCCATTCACTTAAATTGCAGTGTAAAAACTCTCTCCATGAATTAGTTTCATTTTAGGTGAACGTTGAACAGTATTCCTAATGTGAATATTTTTGTTTCTATGTATCCTTACACCGTCGACTGGGTAAATATCCTTGTGTAGGACCATGTTGTTGAAGATGAAACACTCAGTCAAGTAAAATACAGTCAAATTGTAAATATGACCAGTTCGTACTTTGTAAACACAGAAAGGAAATCAGAAGTACATGTACACTGTACTTGGGAAATGCTGCAAAAACTCAGCTGCTTGAAGTGGTGATGACAGCATTGTTAATGGAAAGTATGAATTGGTCTTTAGGTTACATGCGTAGAATGAAGTAGATGTAATGTACACCTCATGACGTGAATATTGCCCAAAGTACTGTGGTATATTCCCATATTTTGTAACTGTGCCATTGTTCAGTACTAGTGCTATGTCATGTATCTGCTGCAGTAGTACTTGATATTGTAAAAAGTAAGGTTGAAGTAGTAACTGTTGGAGTATAATTGAATACAGAACAATACGGTGTTAGGCATGAACCCTGGTGATGCGTTTGTGTAACACCCAATCTCTTGACTCATTACCCAGTGGGTTTTGTTCTTGGAGGATCCTGAGGGTTTTTGACGTGTCTCAATCCAGATTGAATGAATCAACCATAAAGCAGATGAGTGTCAAGGAGAAATGGCCAGCTGGCCATTTGTCATCAGGGAAATTCTTTTGGGGTTGAGCTGTTTGAACTGAAGCTGTAGATGGGCTAAAATACTTGAATGACCTTTACATGTGAGACTAGAAAGGAGATGCTGAATGAACTCTCTGGAGAAAAGTATGCTTTCCAAAATCTTTGGAGACTTAGATTTCATTTTAACCCTCCTTTGGTTTTACAGCACAGATGTGCACAAATGCCCACAGTCAC